TCTGCTGTATTTATTACATGTAAAGCTAGAAAATGCCCATGTGATACTCTGACCTTTTCAAGTAAATCAGTCAAATGATCTCAGTCAGAATTCCCAGTTCTCAGCTCACTCAGCCTGTGCAGGGACCTGAGGGGGACTGGAAGTCTTTGGGAGGTGTTAGCCATGGTCTCAGAAACACTTCTTTGTCATACAATTTTGACACTTCAGATGATCTCTCAGTCTCCTAGTCCCCTCTCTGCATCCTTCACTGTTTGAATGCTACTGTAAACTTTTCAGTGTGTCTTGATTCCTGCCTTCCCAGTAATATTTTTGGTCTTAAAAGGCATGAAGATTAGGACTGGAACATTGACCCAAAAGAATGAAGGAAGCGCAGTAGTGAATAGTTACCATGTGGTCCATCTCACCTAACATCAGGGTTCACCTGCCCACAGAGATGTGCATGGCAACTGAGGATGTCTCAAGATAGCCCCATACCGTGCCACTGCAAAAGGATTTTTTCTGCTGGGTCCTGCATTCTCTCTACCAGTCTTGTTATGATTCCCCATATGAGTGCTGGCATCTCAAATGACACCAAAAAACCTAAACAATGAAGGATCTAGTCCTCTTGGAACACATTTCTAGCCACATGAAGAAGAAAGTAAGCTGGGAAAAGTCAGGCTTTTTTTACCAAGCGTAATACATGCCTGATCAACATGATGGCCTTCTATGATAAAATGGCTGGATTTGTGGACAAGGAGAGAGCACTGGATGTCATTTACCTTGACTTTAACAAGGCTTTCAGCATTGCTTCCCACAAAATCCTTGGATCTAAGTTAGATTATTATGGTCTGGATGAGTGGACAATGAGATGGGTAAAAAACTAGCTGGATAGTTGTACTCGGAAGATAGGCTGTGCTCAATTTGGAGGTTAATAGTAAGTGGAGTCCTATACCAGGACCCATCATGTTTATCAGTGGCCTGGAGGAGAGGCAAGGGAGTGCATTCTTGTCAGTTTCACAGGTGACACCAAATTGAGGGGACCAGTCAATACACCTAAAAGGCAGGGCTGCCATTCAGAAGGACTTAGGCAGGAGGAATGGGGTCAAGAGGAACTGTAAGAAATTTAGCAAGGACAAATGTACCTTCACCTTTGCAAAAATGCATACTGGGGACTGATTGTCCTGGGAACAGCTCTGCAGGTAGGCGCTTGGAGGACCCTGTGAGCAGCAAGCTGAACATAAATAACCAACGTGCCTTGGCAGCAAAGCAAGCCAACAGCATGCTGGACTGCATTAACAGGAGCATAGCCAGTAGATCAAGGGAAGTGATTGTTTCCCTCTAGCTGGCATTCATTAGACCACATCTAGATGGATGCATCAAGTTCCTTTGACCTCTCTGAGCAGTCTTTGGCCTGATCAAGCCACTAAAACTCTCTGAGACTTCATCTTGAGTGTTGCCTTGAAATTTTTCTGCAGAAGGGATCCTGGGAATCATCTAATTTTCCTGCAAAGTGGTGTGTCAGACGGACAGAACCCTGGACTGAAAAGTTGCTACCCAAGCTGGCAGCATAGACACGCTCCAAGGGTAGAGTTAATTTGCCGTAGAGTTAATTTGCCATAACACAGGTGTCTAATGGTATTTGAGACTGCCTATGGTATTCAAGACTTTCAAATGGGTCTGACAAAGGACTTGAGGGGTAGTCTCAGCTTCTCACCCCCTGAAGCAGCATTTGGAGGGGAGATGGGATCCCTGAGTGTGCACATTGTCACTAGATGTCAATATTCAGGCAATGGACTCCTCCCACCTCTGATGTCTTCCATGTCGGTGCTCCCGTGTTTGTGAGATGCCCAAGTTCTGACCTTCTGATCCCCCAGCTGTTTGGGGGAGAGCTGGTCAACACAGCCACTGAGGCCAAGAGAGTGTTTCAGGTCACTTTAGAGGAGGCCTGCATTTGATCAGATTAATTGCTCTGCTGGCTTAATTGACTTCACTAAGTGGATCTGCACTGACTGTATCAGGTGTTGAGACACCCACCTCACGGATACAAATCATCACTGTACATGCCTAAATCCAGATGTCTGCATCTGCAGCTGATTCCCTGCAACTTAGGATGACTTACATCGATGCTCCATGTCCCTGTCACCCCCATTGGCTGATCATTACAAGCCAGCATCATTTCCAAAAAAGAAGGTACTTAAGATGGAGCCAAGAAATACTACTCCAAGAGTGGCATAAATCTTCCTAAGTTTTTGTGACCTCTGGCTTTTACTTCTAAGTTACAGTTGTTTGCTCCATGCATGGCCAAAAAGGATCTATGGAATGTGATTTATTTTTTCTTAAGACTGATGGCTAAAATTATTGTACAAATCACTCTTTGGAGGGATCAATATTCCTCTTTTGTCTGAAGACAGTCTCTGAATCATTGTCTTGGATTTAGGCTGTCAACTGAGATGAATCCTGTCCTTAATCCTGTCCTTACTTTGCAGCTCATGCAGTTGTATTTGACAACATACGTAACATGGAAGACACCTTGGGAATTTGGCTGAGTTTTTTGAACCCTTCTGAAACTGCAAAAGAAGCCTGGAAACCCTAAGGTATAAATCGCCATTAGATAGAGATGTGTAAGGAACTAAATCAAAGCTCCACGGTGTTGATATTAAAGATACGTAAGATGAATCATATCCACTGCTGTCTGAACTTTTTACCTCTTGGAATGAACCATAAGCTCAGACAATTGAATAAGCCAAGAAAGAAGACATTTCTGTAACAAACCATTACACTCCCAGAAGACCACAAAGGATCTTCCTAGGGAGACCATCACATGTCATCTTGGGAAGGGAGAAAACTAGAATAAACCAAATTAAATAGCAGTGGTGTAACGACTCACACAGGAAAAGCTCTGAGAAAAAGCTAGGCCAGTATCTCTTAAAGTAATTGCAAAATGGAAGCAATGTTAATGGCACTAAATTAAGCATTTTCTTTTTCTCCTTCTAGGCAGTTAGTGTTGAACCTTTTAGTAATATGTACTGTACTTGGAAAGGCAGGTTATACGTGCATATAACCAGCATACATGCAAAAGATCTTTTTGCTGGATACAGGTTAGTTTAAGAAAAAACTACCTACTTGAGATGTTAGAAAATAAGATGAGATTTTGTCACTTACGAGACTGGCCACTGTGACCCATTGTATTGGGTCTGGCTGGGATGGGGTTAGCTTTCCCCATATCAGCCCTTACAGTGCTGTGTATTTGTAGCTAGAAAGGTATTGATAACACACCAGTGTTTTGGCTACTGCTGAGCAGTGCTTGCACAGCATCAAGACTCTCTCTCCAACCACCCCCCACTCCAAAGGCCAGTAGGCTGGGAGTGGGCAAGAGGTTGGGAGAGGACATAGCCAGAACAGCTGACCCAATCTGACCAAAGACATATTCCATACCATATGATGTCGTGCTCAGCAATAAAAGCTAAGAGAAAGGAGGAGGAGAGGGGGGCATTCATTACTAAGGTGTTTGTCTTCTGAAGCAACCACTACGTGCACTGAGGTCCTGCTTCCCAGGAAGGGGCTGGACACTGCCTGCTGATGGGAAGTCGAGAATAAATCTTTTTTTTTGTTTTCCTTTGCTTCTGTGTGCGGCCTTTGCTTTTCCTTTATTAAACCACCTTTATCTGGACCCATGACTTCTTTTTTCTCATCTTATTTTCTGCCCTGCTGTCCTACTGAGGAGGGGAGTGATAGAGCAGCTTGGTGGGCACCTGGCGGCCAGCCAAGGTCAACCCACCACACCCATGCATAAGAAAACCTCCTCAAAAGAGAAGGCATCTCAAAAGGAGGAGTGTTCTTTGGCTAAAAGGCAATTTCTAGGGATTAACTGACAGAACAATAACCAGCTGATATGATCTGAAAGATGTTTCTGAGGATTTGTAAAACAAAAGGTCTTCCCCCCAGGAATATCTGATTTTCTCAATCTGCATGGTGAGTACTTCTCTCTTCTTTTAGAACAGTACCATAACAAAGATGATCTGGAGTATGGCATGTGATCCAACTCCCTGAATTCCTGGAGGGGATGAAAACGTGTCTATTAAGACACAATATATTGTCTTCTCCCCAAAAGAAGAGGTTTTCTAGCCCTTGCAAACTTCTCTAAATGTGCTGTCCAATTAAATTATTAGAAATAGTCACTTTATCAATTTAAATATTCTATTATTACAACGTCTGCTGTAACTCAAGATTTGGTGATAGATTCATGTCAGGACTCTTGTTAACTTTTGGTAGTAATTCACACTTCTTTCATCGTAATAATAATGAATCAGAATATTTTCATTAAAATCATCACACAAGAGTCCAAGGAGTATTCATCTCTACAGGTTAGATCTCTAAGTCTGAGGAAGTACCTTAAGCTCAGTGTAATGTCGGTGGAGAGAGCAAGAGAGGTCCACAAGGCAATTTTCAGACTTACCTTCATTACCCACTTAAGATGAAGATGAGTTATCCCTGCCAATCCTCATTGTCATCAACTGATTAGAAAAACCTGCTGTGACTAAGTCAAAACTTGCACATGTTTTAGGGCATTTGGCAGCATTAAATGTCTGATTTAGTTGCATACATACAGGTGTCTAGTTCCTTTTGAAATGTCTCAGGGTAACCTGATCAGCTTCCCATTGTGGCCCGAGAAGATCAGATACAGAAGGAGAAGGAAGGATCACTGCTTCATACTCAAGCAGTGATGAAGTCCACTCATACAGTGTGGATTCATTTGCCTTTACATGCTTAGCATTGGATTTGAGTATTGCTCAGAAAGGCAGTGTAGACTTCATCTTAGAAACCAGTGAGGAGGAGTAGCAGGCAATTCAGAGTGGAGATCTTGTTGAGCCTTGATGAATCCTCTTCTTTGGAAGAACACCCAGTAAAAAGGGAACACTGACTGATTTCAGGAACAAGGTTTTGGAGACTCTCGCTCATTACTTTTTGTTTTTCATGTGCTTCCCTCAAAACATTTTTATCTGTTTAAAGATAAGCTACAGATGGAGAATCAAACAACAGTGATGGACTTCATCCTCTTGGGCATTGCTGATGATGATCAATTCCACTATGTGCTCTTTACCATCCTGTTAGTCACCTACATCTTGACTTTAACAGGTAACATTCTCATCATCACCATTGGCCTGATAAACGATCATCTTCAGACTCCCATGTACGTCTTCCTCAGGAACTTCTCCATCTTAGAGATTGGCTTTACCACCACTGTTATCCCCAAAGCATTGGCCAACCTGGCTTTAGGCAAAAAAACCAATTTCTTTAAGGGGTGGTCTCACTCAAGCTTTTCTCTACTTCATGCTAGGTACCACTGAGTTTCTCCTGTGAGCTGTAATGTCCTTTGACAGGTATGCAGCCATCTGCAAACCTCTACATTATGTGGCCATTATGAATTCACAAGTCTGCAGCCTGCTGGTGATTACTGCCTGGATTGGTGGGGCTGTCCTTGTTCTTTCTCCATCAGTGGTATATTTCCAGATGCCATTCTGTGGTTCAAACATCATTAATCATTTTTTCTGTGATAACACACCAATGATTGAGCTCAAATGTGGAAACAACAAGGTCCTAGAGTGCACGAATTTCATCTCAGCAGTGTTCACCCTACTGGATACCCTAGCTATTACAGCTGTATCCTACGCCAACATCATTACTGCTGTGGTCAAAATCCCCTCTGGGCTGGCAGACAGAAAGCCTTTTCCACCTGTGCCTCTCCCCTCACTGTGGTGTCTATCATGTATGGCAGCTGCATCTTCATGTACCTCACACCCACCCAGACCAACAGACGACTTCAGCAAGGTGGTGTCCATCTTGAACACTGTGGTATCTCCTCTGCTCAATCCATTCATCTATAGCTTGAGGAACACACAGTTTCAGGAGGCCTTAAGGGAGAGCATTAAATGTAGTATAGTACTTTCTAAACACTCAGACATTTGAAGGGCTGATGAATGTGGTTGCAATCAAGAACAGGAAAGAAAATGATTTAATAACATTCCTGTCTCTCCTTAGACATCCATCCACCCACCCACCCACATACCTATTCCTACATATCCATCCATCCATCCATCCATCCACCCACATACCTATTCCTACATTTCCATCCATCCATGCATTCATCCATCCATTCATCAATCCATCTACAAACAGTTGTCAATAATCTTGTAAATTACTGAAACCTAAATTATGCTCTCTGTTCTTTCTCCTCCCTTTTTTGTCCCACAAGCTTTCTGGTTTTCTTTTCTCCGTGTTGAATGATTTAGGATAACGGTGGCTAGTCCACAAATCACTCTCTTACTGGGTAGTCCAAGTCCACATGAAGAACAAAGGGAAGTACAAAGGGCTTTATGCAAACACCACCACTGTGTCATTTAAGGAGCTACTTGTACACACAGAACGAATCAGAGAGGATGGAAAGGTATGGGACAGAGGGAAAAGTAATGTCACCAGCTATCTGTGAATAAATGCCTGAGCCTTCCATCCTCATGAGTCTCAGTGATATGTGGTGTGTGATAGATCAGTCTCTGCCATATGCAGAAGAGCTTCAGTGGCTAAAGGGTATTGGCTACCTCTATAATCCAGTGAATGAAGATGGGAAGAATGTTAGATGTTTTCTGAAATAAGCTGTATTTTTCTTGTTCGCTGATGAAGGAACTAGTGTTCAGTTTGCAACATTTGTAGGTTTTAGTCATTCATGTCATGCTTGCTGGAACCCATCTTATTTAAGCTTTAGGAAACTGGGATGGGAATAATCTTACCTAACATCAGCGATTGGATTCAGCACCTGATTTGGACCTATGTATAGGTATCTAAAGATAAGCGTTAGGATATGTGCACAGATGGCCATCCCTGGCCTACACTAAGAAGACAACAACATGAGTAATTAGAAGGCATTGCAGGCAGCAAAAGGGGTGTAGTGTGTATGTAGTTTGACCTGACTCATGGCACCGCTAACAAAACAGCAACATGGGAAATGATAGGACACTATTGATAACAAATGGGGAGTACGAGCTTAACAGAACTAATCAACAAGGTAGAAATTACCAGAGCAACCGTATCATAAATATCAGAGAAGTCTTTAAATGTAGAAAAACCTAGGCTAATGAGGAAGGGGTAAGCAGGGGTGGGCATTTTATTTGAGAGGGTCTTGTGGTTTAACCCGGCAGGCAGCTAAACACCACACAGCTGTTCACTCACTCTCCCACTGCCCAGTGGGATGGGGGAGAGAATCAGAGAAAAAAAAGTAAAATTCACAGGTTGAGATAAAGACAGTTTATTAGTACAGAAAAGGAAGGGAAAAATAATATAAATATAATAATAATAATAATAATAATAATAATAATGATAAAAGAATATACAAAATAAGTGATCCACAACTGCTCACCACCCGCCGACCGATGCCCAGCCAGTTCCCGAGCAGCAGTCCCTGTCCCCCGGCTAACTCCCCCCAGTTTATATACTGAGCATGACATCATATGGTATAGAATAGCCCTTTGGCCAGTTTGGGTCAGCTGTCCTGGGGCTGTGCTCCCTCCCAGCTTCTTGCTGGCAGGGCATGAGAAGCTGAAAAGTCCTTGACTAGTGTAAGCCCTACTTAGCAACTACTGAAACATCGGTGTGTTATCAACATTATTCTCATACTAAATCTAAAACACAGCACTGTACCAGCTACTAGGACGAAAATTAACTCTATGCCAGCTGAAACCAGGATAGAAGGGTAGCTAGTGGTAAAGGGGAAGAACTTGGGAGGGGAAGAGAATATCAGGTGAAGCAACTCATGTGATGGTGACTGTTCAGTACATCTGTCATACAACCCTGCTCCTGATCAGTGGAGTTTGGAACAGGAGAAGAAAGCTGTTGCTGTCATAACCATACTTGTGTCTGGCACCTTCATGATTGAGAGACCTGGTGTCTTTTCCTTAAATTTGTTGAGGGAAGGGGGGACAGGAAAGGCATTCTGACTTCCTGGTGAAGAACTCTCTTTTACTGGCATCTTGTGCTACTTTAGATGCTCTGGACTACAACATGAACAGGGCTAGTAGATATGGCTTAGGGGCTCCACAAGGTTCAGCTCCTGTACAGTAGGAGCTGCAAGCCAAGCTGAACATACCAGAACATCTCAATGGAATCAGCCTTCTGAGTGTCAAAAATGGCTTAAATAGAAGTGTTTTAGGGTATCAGAGTCATTGTCATGGTTTGGGTGATACAACACAGGAGCAGCTGGAGACAAAATGGAATAGCCTGGGACATCTGAAAAGCCCCTAAATTCCCAGGAAACATTATTGCCCCAATATACTTTTTGAGTAATAAAGAAAAGTAAGCACATTCAAGGCATTTTTCATCTGAAAGATAGTCTGCTTAGCATGCAGGGATTCATGCCATAGAACTGCCAACAGGATACCAGAAATGTCTGTATCTCCCCCGTGATACCAAAGGCAGCTTAGACCACTTGTCTAGAATGGGCAAAATTAATTCCTCTCTCCTTTCTGTTCAGTAACTTTCAGTGGACTTTTGTCATGCCCTCATGTCCCACCATTTGCTGCTGTGAAGAGCCTGGTTCCATCTTCCTGATGGTTCCTTGTAGGCATAGGAAAGCTGCTGTTAGGTCCCCCCACGCCCTCCTCTTCTGTGTGAACAAGTCCAGTTCCCTCAACGTCTCCTCAGTGTAGACCCCTATGGTACTCCACTTGTTACAGGTCTCCAGGTAGAGTATGGCCTATTCAGTGTGAAACCTGAAGCATGATCATTCCTACAGGGCACAAGGGGACAAATATACTGATGCAATCACAACAACCAAAAGAAGGTTGAAAGGATACAAAAGACATGGAAGGGCTGGATCAACCTGCAGAGGGTGGAAAAGACTCCTTTCCCTTAATTTTGGACTTGTGTCGCTTTTCCCACAATCCATGGCTCCTTCCAAGAAAGACAGCCTCATTTGACAACATGAGTTGACAACCTCATTTCCTGGTGACAAACTGCAAAACCTGAAAACTCCTCCAGACCCAACTTAGAATAAGAATAGAATTCCCTGCCCTATCTTTAAGATAAAGCCTAACCTTGTCAGCTGGGCATGGGTCTTTCACAGGAAGCTGTTTGCTTTGCCAGCGCCTTTTTACCCTCTCCTGGCTGCAGCATGGCGTGCTTTAGTGATTGAAACCCTACAGGAAAACCTGACTGCTCAGAGGTGAAAGATTGGTTAAAGGTTGGTTAAAGATTGAAGTTTTGTCTGAGTGCCAGCAACCAGAGCGGGGATCATTTGTCCCTGGGCCCCATGTGGCTGGTGTGCCAGGAACTGGAGAGGCCAGCCAGCCTGCCTGAGTAGGGTAAGAGACTTGTAAACCAGATATTGAAGTGGCCGTAAGTTTTGGCTGGGTACCAGACATACTCCAGAGTTCAAGAGCTGGCTACTGGAGTAACCAGCAAGAACAAGCTAAACTCTGCAGAGACCATGAGGTCTGGACATCACCTGAGAGACCTGTTTGTGTGTGTGTGGCTGTGTGCATGAGGCACGTGGAGATGGGAGGATCCAAGGGCCAGCTACTGTGTATGCTGTGTGTCTAAGGCTGGTTCCGGGGGGATACATCACACATATGTGTCTGTGGATGTGTTTCTGTGTGCAAGTGGGTCTGTGTCCCAGCAGCTGGAGTGGGGCTGGGGGCCTCACGGGCTTGCCTGCAGAGATGCCAGCAACTGGGAGACCCGGGATCCAGGGCGGCTACTGGGTCGACTGAGTGTCTAAGGCTGAGCGTCTTAGTGTTATTGGGGGACCTCTGTGCCTAGGTGTGGGTGCTGGTGTGTGTGCAGAGTGTTTCCATCCGCCTTGATCCATGTCCCTGGTGTGTACGTGCAGTTGTGCCTGGGGTGCACTTTTGAGTGTACCGCAACCATGGACTTCCGGAGGGCGGACTTTGGCCTGTTCAGGACGCTGGTTGAGGGAGTCCCTTGGGAGACAGTCCTGAAGGGCAAAGGGGTCCAGGAAGGCTGGACGTTCTTCCAGAAGGAAGTCTTAAAGGCGCAGGAGCAGGCTGTCCCCGTACGCTGTAAGAAGAACGGGCGGGGAAGACGACCGGCCTGGCTGAATGGGGAGCTCTTGCTGGGACTCAGGAAAAAAAGGAGAGTTTACCGCTTGTGGAAGAAGGGGCAGGCGACTCAAGAAGAGTACAGGGATCTCGTTAGGTCGTGCAGAGAAGAAATGAGAAAGGCAAAAAGCCCAGCTAGAACGCAATCTGGCCGCTGCTGTTAGAGACAACAAAAAATGTTTTTACAAATATATTAATGACAAAAAGAGAGCCAAGGAGAATCTCCATCCCTTATTGGATGC